ACAGCAAACATAATTTGATCCTCTGCTCCTACAGCTACCCTTTAAACACTCCACAATGGGATTTATTTGGTTGCACACGTTCCGTGAATCATCATTGTTTACATCTATGGTTAAAGAAACGAAGCAAGACTAAATTACATAGAACAGAAAATCATTGTTGCCCTGACGTGTGGATGGTTTAAAGCATCAGCTGTCAAAGACAGAAACACCTGCTACAATAAATAGCTACAATTATGTGTTATTTTGCTGAAGCAACTGCAGCAAATTATATCGAGAAGAAAGAATTTAATTACAATTGGAATGCCAATGCCTCAACGCACAAGCACTAGAACTACTTAACATGCCATATCTGAGTGTTAGCTAGATTCATTCGAGTAGCCGTGGTTTCTCTGCTATAACTCTCTGACATAGTGGCTGCTTAATTAAAATAGAATGATTCACTGAGAGTTAGAAAAAGATAAAAATGATACCACTCTTATCTGCGCATTTAATATACAATAAGAAAGGGACAGCCAGGTTAGATTAGCTCAGCACAAAGACTGAAAACAGAGGGAAACAGCTAGTCTGGCTCTGTCCAAAGGTAAAAAAATGCAACTACCGGCACTTGTTAAGCTCAATATTTAATGTGTTATATCTCGTTTATTTTAACCTACACAAAAAGCATGTAAAAATGACTAGTTTAGTGGGAGTATGTGCCAGGCAACCAGAGACAGTCAGTGTGTAATTGCTCACTCCTTTCACAAAATGCCACACTATTTCTTTATGCTTTATGAGATACATGAGTCTTCCAATATCATTCCCCTTTGGTTTATATATACGGCACTTAGATCTGAAATAGGTTTTACACATTGCTCCAAAAGTAAAAATGACTGAAAATGCTATCCCCTTGAAACACAGTAGTAAGGGCACATCTTTCAAACAAGGAAAACATGCACAAATTTAAAAAACAATTCAAAAATGATATTGGTTCGGCTCATCAGCAGCAAGAAGCAGATTGTGTCTTAAATGAAGATTAAGATTCAGTTTTAGTAAACAATATTCAACACACAGGCTATGATGCCAGCCTCCCCTGCGTTACAATCCAAGGTGAACACCATTGTTTCCAACAAGAAGACCAACATTAATATTTGAGCAGTTTTTCTCTTTAGATATTTACTGAAGTGAGCAGACCCGTGGACAGACACGTGGACAGACCCGTGGACAGAGTCTAGATGGCTACCTGACTCATGAGCTTGTTAGCACCTTCAGTTGCTCCACATATCCTGCTGTCTGCCACCTTCTAACAAAGCGAGTCGAATAGTTGTTTTTTTATGTCAATCTTTGCAGGACAGCACATTAACAGGTTTTTTTTCCACTGCTCTCTAGGTGTTGCCAGGTGGTTTGAAAAAACAACAGCACCAGGATGTGCAAAAAGCATGAAGTCTAACACAACATGCTCCAAGCTCCAAGTTGGCAGTGTTGTTTATGGGCAATTTGTTTCCACACCACATCTATCATTTTTTAGTAACCAAAGTAATTTGAATAGAATGTGAAATTAGCAGCAGGTTTGTAACACTGTCTATACCTCCTGCCAAATGATTTCAGTCACTTTGTCTTTCAAATTTGCAAGAATCAGAAAAGGACATCCATAGTAGGGATGAAAGGATTGATATTACATTCATTTTTCATCTCACCGACTTCAATCTTCACATATTTGTATTGAGATTGTGACCGTGCTAAGAAAGTCACACAAATACTCAAGGCATCGCAGGAGATCATAAGACCTTGTTTTGGTACAGAGGAGCCAAATATAATTTATGTAAGCGGTCAATATTCTCTGGACACATATGGGATTAAAATTGTAACACATGTAAAGCTAAAACAAGGAACAGTGGCACAGCTGTACATGCTGATGTGTTTCATAGGCTAAATGAAGTTCTGGCCTATTCAAACCACAGAGGTTTGACTAGAACCAATTCTTCTGTATGAAATTTACCTTTAAACAAAACAAAATGCTAATTTTAGCGATGACCTTCTGTTGCAAAATCTGTGAGAAAGCCTAAAAAACTGCAGTGGAAGAAGTGTTTTGGAGAGGATCCTTTACTTTACTGCTTCCAATCGATTGGTTTGTAAAAATGATGAAAACAGACAGAAATGCTGTCACTATTAAGCAAAGGGACGCCTTCCAAATGCTTGTTTTGTCCATCCAAACGTTGAGAATAATAAAAAAAATGAATAACAAATGTTAAATTGTTAAATTAAAATGTAAAACTGATTTTACATGAACAAAAAATGATAATAATTAGGCAATTAATTTTCTGTCAATTGACTGATTCATGGACTAATGTTTCAGCAAAACTTGTATATACTATTAGAACGGTGAATTTATGACAAAACCTCACACTTTATAAAAGACGTCAGATAAATGTAGTGGAGTAAATTTACCCCAAAATGTAATGGATTAGAAGTAGAAAGTAGCATGAGAAAAAGAAAGAGGTAAAGTAGTAAACTTCGGTACAGTACTTTAAATTTAATTATTTATATTCTGCCACTGAAACTCCTGGTGTTATTTTACAAACAGAGATGCATGGGCATAGTAAAACACAACCGTGATATATTAATTCACATAACATTTAAATCCTACCTTCACATTAAAATAGGAGTTTTAATGATATGTAAATGAAATGGTAAATGGACTGCGCCGTTCTAGTCTTCCAATCACTCAAAGAGCTTTACACTACCTTTCAAATTCACCTCCACACACTCATACACTGATGGCAGACGCTGCATGCAAGGGGCCAACTGCTCATCAGACACACACACACACACGGCACATAATCAGGAGCTATTTGGGGCTCAGTATGTTGCTCAAGGACACTTACATTCAGCGGGAGGAGCCGGGGATCGAACCGCCAACCTTCTGATTGGTGGACGCTCAACCCCCCGAGCGAATGCCGCCCTTTGTATCAAATACACACCTCGCTTATCTGTAGGTAAAGCTATATTATACACGTAAACTAAGTCAGTGGAGTGATTTCAGTCACCGTCTGGTGCAATACCCCTTTTTACCACCAACCCAGCGAGGCGCTGTTTTACAAGAAATGCTAAATCTCCTTTTTTTTCATAAATTGCGACAGTTTTAGTTTCATTAAATGTATTTTCCCAATTGCCAAACAGTCCCATTGAAAGATAAAATATTCATAAGTGCTAACATTGCCTGAAGTCTTTATTTGGAGATACAGAGTGGGTGAGCGTTTGTTTTGTATGAGCACAAAAAACAACAATAGCCTAAGGTTGTGTCTGGCAGAAAATAAGGATTTGCTTGTGGACGTGAATCTGTAGCCAAACAAGCCAGTGAAAATATCAGAACAGCCCAGCTTTAGTCTAGAGAGTATGAGGTTGATGAGAACTCTCTGGGGCTTTTTGATAACTTTGGAAAATTAAATGATTAACTTGTGCAGGTAATGATAACAGCAGAAAGTCAATAGTGTGGGTGAGGACATTAGTTGAGGACTTGCAATTAACATTTTGATCATGTTGTCTTTGTGAAATGACTAAAGTCAAATGGTTAGAGAGCAACATTTGTAAAACAAAGGGAGCAGTTCAAGCCACTGGGGATGTTGAAAAAGAGCAAATTCTGTTTCTATTTCACATTTTTATTTATTGTTTATTTGTATGGGGACAAGAATGGAGCATAAACAAATGCCACACAGAACAGCATTTACAGCCTATGATAATTTGCAAACCCCATTCCTAGATTTACATAAAACTCAACAAATACACAAGAGACTGTGTATTGTCAGTAAGAAACCTCAGCAAGAAAACATACAGGGCAAGAGACATGGCACAGGAGCTACTTTAACTAAATATATATCTTAAGAAATTTACATTTAACTATATGCGACTTGATATATCTGTTCTAAGAAAAGAAAAGAACTGCTGTCATTAAAGTCAAAACATCTAGTATGAATACGATCACCTCAAAAAATGTGTGTTATTGGCTAAATATATTTTGACATGCAGTGTATTATGTGTTTTTTTATAATGAATTGTGAGCACTACAGTCAGTCTAAACTTGTCACTTATCAAACAACTAAACTGAATGTTTTAAATTATTTGTCTGTAATATACATGTTGTAGACTTGACAAGGTACAAATTCATTACAATGAACAGAACAATGGGTAATTTCTTGCAACTTTTTCAAAAAAACTTCCACTTCCACTTTTTGGACACCATGATCATCCTGCATACCGACTGTCCTGTTTGCCTTTGCCTTAGTAGCAAAGGCAAAGGGGAGCAAAGTAATTGAGTAACTGTAATGAGGGCACTGGATGAAAACTTTAATGTCTGACTCACAGAAAAGATCATTTTACCATTGAAAACTTTGCACTAAGGATTCTTCAAGTCATCGAACAGCACCATCAAGTGAACATCATTACACAGAGATTTTAATTTTCAGGAGTTTAGTCGATGCATTCATTATCATCATTTAGTATATTCTCAGGCACATTCCTCTGTGTTTTAATGCTGTCCTTTGTGTTTAAGCCAGTAGTATTATTGTAAACCACTGAATGTCCCTAATGTATTCTTACACTTACCATGTAAAACGTTAGCAGAATTGCTGGGAGAATTTGATGGGAACTGTGGTGTCCAATTTGAAACAAAACAAGCTTTAAAAAGAAATTATAGAAAGAAAAAAGAAAGAAGACAAATTTTGAGACTACAAATAGACCTGGGGGGAGTGAATCTAATTATACCTAATTATCTCTGAATCTTCTCTTCACCATTATGTATCATTCATGCTGCAAATATTGTGTGGGGACCTCATAAATGTGATGCTTGGCTGTGCTGTGTCTGCAGTGTTTTATTTTTAGCCCGCATTTTTGTCTGGATAACAACTCCAGCATTAGATGTTATGACATAATCGGACAAAACACAACTTTATGTCTGTTTAAATATGTGGACATTTACAGTAAAATATTATTAACATGTGTTTTTGTTGTGTGTGTTGTATTTACAGGTGACTGGCTGGCTGGAATACCACCCCACTCCTTCCCCTTCTGAGGAAATCCCATTCCAGGACGGTGCTTTGGTCTCACTTCCTCCCAGCATGGAGCCCACCAAAGTCCAGTCAGAGGGTGGCCTCAATGTTACCCTTACCATCCGCCTCCTCATGCATGGAAAAGTAAGCAGGCACAGAGTGTCATACCTAGTTGTGGTAAAAAGTAAAACACATGGGGGGTTTGTTTCTTCACTGAAGCATCCTTGTACAAGTCTCTGATCCAGTTCTTACGCAGTCCACAGTCCAGTTCAGTTCTTAAAGGGTCACTCCACCTACAGTTGTCTTCTCGGGCTCTGGAGGAGCTTTGTCAAATCAAGGATCACAGCCTTGATGAATTTATTGGCCTCTGCTTGGACGTGGACCAACTGATATTCACAGAGAGCCTATGTTACGAGCAGAGGGTATGAAGCTTGAAAGACATTTACCACATACGGAGGGTTTAATGCTATTGCTTGCATTATGGAAAGTATATGGATCCAACAGTTTTTGAAGTTTGAGACTAGTTCTGTTTTTTTTTCCGCAACTACAGGCCAGAAAATTGGTTTTACTGACAGATCTTTAAAACATTATTATGAGAGTAAAACATGACCTTTACTGCTAAGGATGAAGGCGCTGAGCTCTGGCCTTTTACTCTGCTAGTCCTCACTATAGTTTGCATCTCCTTATGCCCTTATACAGTATGACGGAATTGATACAGAGACTTGACTCATGGCTCTTCCACTGGTTGCTGTTTCTTTGCATAAAAAGATCTTGGTGGCTGTCATTTGTCTTCCAGTGACATTGTCAAGCTCTCTGCACTAGTTTTAGCCCAGACCAAGCCTCTGGAGCCTGGATGGTGGATCAGCCCTAACAAGTTAAAACTCCACTTCCAGACTTAAAGAGTGACAGGCTTCTGCCGACTCTGCTCAGTTGGTACTTGTCAGCCCGTGGTGTTTTCATTTTCCCAGGGCACAGTGCATAACCCATAAGTGGGCAACAACATGGGATTTTTCCCAGGCACTTATGTGCAGCGTGTACTCCCTCCCCTCTCCTTCTACTCTTTAAGAGGTGGTCAGAAATGATGTGTACGTGTTTGCCACTTTGGAAAGGTCATTCATGCTTGGTTAATGTGGCCTTTGCTCACAAGTCAATACTGCAGTAAGGTGCTAAAACTGTGGTCCACAATTTTGTGATAATAGCTACAAGCAACTGGCTTCAGTTTTTTAAAGTTTTTTTCTATGGAGTATAATAGAAATAAGGTTTTATAACAATAGTTCTGTCTGAGTCTCTAAGTCCCACTCACACTACAAATACCTGGCCATGTTGTCGGGGTGTGCAGCACAAAGACTAGCCAAAATGTTCCCCTTGGTCACTGTGCCAAGCTGTCTGCAGCCCCAAAACTCACCTACTGCATGGCTGCTCATGCAGGAGCTCCAGACACCAGTGACCCGGTGATAGTTTGAATAACCCTGCAATAAGAGGCCCAGTCAGGCCCCAGAGCCTACCAGAAGATGTTTGACTGCATTGGGGGACTTTGGCAGCCCAGCTCTGGCTCTGTTGCCCGCAACAAAGAGGTCTACATGGTCTTTTTAGGTGCTGGTACAGTGCCTAGGACACTCCCACTCCTCCACAGTTTTGTTGGCGCTTTTGTCCAGGACATCTGAAAGACTTTGTGGCAGACACATGTGCCCCTGAAGGTGACGTATGTAGAGTCCTGGATACCCCCTCTGAGCGGAACTGGTAGCGGTGTTAATCCTCAGGTTTTCTCAGATATGGGTGAGAGTTTCTCAAAGCATTTCAAGCATTACGTAACTGTAAAAAGTCTCTGATTAGATTTATTGTAACAAAGTGTTAGCCTAATTGGAGGCATGTTAGTGATGCCTCCTTGTTTAAAAGCTGGAATAACTTGAAAGTTGCTGAAAGCAGGAGTGGCGAGGGCAATAAGGTGAGAACAGGGAAAAGGCCGACACCACATGGGGAAATGTACCCCAGGAAATACTTTCTCAAGGACCTTAAACATTGTTTGGAGGATTAATGAAGACACAGTGATGTTTCACTGAAATAATCAAACTAGGCAGGGACTGGAGCTTCAGGAGAGATTAATAGCCAAATTAAAATTACTTAAATCTGCAAGGGGAATAGAAAAAAGCACTTTATTACCTTATTCTAAAAAGGCCTTAATACAACATCTAAAACCATGAGTGAATTTATGCAAAACTGAACTGAAGCCACTTGTGTAGAGACATATTACACTGAGGAGTGTAGAGGAGCTACCGTTAATCATCTCAGTACTTTTACTCACATACATAAAGAGCGGGAACCTCACCACAGGAGTGGTACAATAAGAAGCAAAACAGCTGAACAGAGAAATGGAGAGGTATATTTTGGTCTAATGACCCATCCTACTACCTCTAGTATGGGGCACCAAAACACAGGACCAACATATCAGATCAAAGCTAAAACAGAAGCAGTCAGCTCGGTTTGCAGTATAAAAAAGGCTGACTTGTAAATGTTAAATAACAGAATGGCTCACTTCAGTTACATACCTGTACACCAAACACTACCAACAAAAGCAGAGATGGGCACAGGCAAGCAGGTGCCTTATATAATCTGGCCCTGATCAGGGATTTGGTTAGGGAAGGAGTCAGACATGGGGCTGCATTCACTGACACTACGCATACTATATTAACCTGCACTAGGGGAGCATTCCCCACCACACATTGAAAGAAATAACATTTGTGAATGATGAACTTACAGTCACTGGCCACAATACAATAAAATAAATCAAGACAGTTTAAATGGATAAAAAAGTGTGAGACGGCAGGAACATATAGTACAGAAAAGGATATTTTGTAGCAAGTAACAAAGGAGTAAAAGAGTCAATTATATCCTCAGACTGTAGTGAAGTAAAAGTTTGAGTGAAAAGAAAGAAAATACTTGAATGAAGAACAAATTCCTGAAGGAATATTTGAGGGTAAAAACAAAGTTTTTTTTTCTACTGTGTGACTTAACATAGTGCTTGATATATATAAATGAATTCTTAGGAAAGAACTTGGCACTGCACAACAACTGGCCTGCAGCTGAAACGTCACAGTGGATGTAACCCTCGCAGTCACTGAGGAGAGTTCAGGGAGTGTTGACGCTCGCAGCCAGCACTGCCTCTCTGCCCTTTCCCCACTGAGCCACACCAGACTCATGAAGAGTGATTGCTTGCATATGGAAAGTGTGGCCCCCAACAACACCATGCAGCTGTGCAACCTCTGAATGCCCCTGTTTGCACGTGGTCCAGGGAAAGCAACAGCAAGTGTTCTTGGTACTGTACTTTTACCCAGAAGATTCTTTAATGCTTAAAAACTAAAAAAAAAAAATGTTTTCTCTTTTTTGTTTTTTATTGCAGGAGGTTGGAAGTATAATTGGAAAGGTATGTTATTTTTATTAAATCACACACTTGTACTCATGGAAAAAATATAGAATCAAACCATACTTTGAATTCTTTTTAGTATTTTCATTACAGTTCTACTTTTTTACAGAAAGGGGAAACAGTAAAAAAGATGCGAGAAGAGGTGGGTTTCAGTCTCAAAAGAGCACTATTTAAATATTAAAATAATAAAAATCTGTACATTTCTCCCAGCCAAATCACAACTTTGGAGATTTACTAAAAGCTTGAAATAAATGACAAACTCATGTGTTCAGTTTAATAGTGGTGAATAGATTATTCCAATTTGGTAGAGATCTAGTTCTGGATTAAGGTCTCACATGAGCTTTATTGACTCCATTGACAATATGTACGAATTGTTTTTCCAGAGCGGAGCACGAATCAATATTTCTGAAGGCAACTGTCCAGAGAGGATTGTCACTATCACTGGACCAACAGACACTATCTTCAAGGCTTTTGCTATGATTGCCTACAAATTCGAGGAGGTATGATAAGATCATGTGGTGGGTAGCAGCAGAATTGCTATTCAAGGTAAAATTTCCACAGCTCGCTGGACACATGCACTGATAAAGTCCAATGGGAGTTCGAGTTATTTTGCCGTCTTTATGTACACACAAAGTACCTGCCTGGGGTTTATTAGTGTCATTTTAGATTAGTGTCTAATTTTATTTCTAACTATTTGTCTGAATGCCCGGGTACTTATTTTGTATCATGTTTCCATTTTACACATGCACAGATTTTACGAGTAATTCTGCACATACAGTAGATGTATATAAGGCACATAGGTGAATTTTATGAAGTTTATTTTCCTCTGACCCTGTCTTTGATGTCATCTAATTGACATATTCAAACACCGTGACTGGAACTTGCAAGAGGGGACCCACTGCTGTGTCCTCAGTGAGGACAAAGAGCAGTGCTCATTTACCAAGCAGAAAATATATTAAAGAAAGGTCATTTGGACTGACTTAAGATTGTAAATTGATTTATATGGATAGTAATTAGCCAGAAAAGTTGACGTCATGAATATTTTTGGAGGTGCATTGAGAAAATATTATCACTGCAAAATGAAATATATGTTCTTGTTATCTAGGACATAATCAATTCCATGAGCAACAGCCCAGCCACCAGCAAGCCCCCAGTCACCTTAAGGCTTGTTGTACCAGCCAGCCAGTGTGGCTCCCTCATAGGAAAGGGAGGCTCCAAAATAAAAGAAATGAGAGAGGTATGATATGAAAAAGTTTTTATACATAACCTAAACCTAAAAATTGCTATACAGATATAAGAATCAAGCCTTTTGCTATTTTTTGTTATACAAGACAAACAGAGAATGTAGCCAAATTGTTTCATCTTTCTTTTTTACATTAAGTCATTAGTTTACATTCTCCATAGATACTTTAATAGTATGAAAATTGATTCAATGTTTGATTAAATTGTTGCATTTTCCTAATTTCCCCTCATGTTTCCTTTCATTTGATTATGCAGAATGTAGGAACATAATAATGTAATAACTGTAACTTTCAGCACTGATTTTTGACCGTGTAGCTACAGTGACAACCACATTGCTCTCCAGTTTACAACAGGCCTTTTCATTCAACTCTTGAGGGCAGCACATTGAACTTTCTGCTTGTATGCTTGTTTACCCAATCAGGAAAGACTTACCAACAATACTCACTAGAGAATTAGAAGCAGACATACTTTATTGATCCCCAGGGGGAAATTGGATTACAAGAGAAATTATAATAGCCCTATGTATAGTCTATAATCAAGACTGAGTCTACAGCCACAGTGTCAGTGTACTTAGGCACAGCTGTGCTTTGAGAGAAATGCTAATGTCAGCATGCACACCAACAATTTAAAAAAAGTAACCGCCTAATAAGTCTGATAATCCTACCTGCTTTGCAAACTAGTGGTGACAACATGTTTTTTCCACACCCGGTGCACTAATGCACTATAGTACAATACTACAACATAGGCATTTCTACCTTTCAATATACAGAGGCCAGTGCAGCTAATTATTAGGGTTCATCCTCTAGGCAACATGAACCAGAGTTCATGACAATCCATCTAGTAGCAGTAGTTGAGAAATTCACTGGCTGAGCCAAAAGCAGAGTCTACTCATATTAGGCAGCATTTCGTACTCTCAGATGGACCTTCATAGGCAGCAAGACACATGTCACAGCTGGAGCATGGCAGAGTTACATCAAAGAAGAAACCACATCTTATTTATCTGGGTGCATTTTCATATTTAAAAAAAGCCACTTTTACGGCCTGCAGCAAGTGAGGTTGGTTGATAGGGGATGATTAGCGGAACAAGTAAATTAAAATGTTTTAGTGTGCTGCCCTACAGAAGTGAGTGCATGAATAAACTAGTGCTGGACAGCCTGTGTGACTTACAACTAAATCTTGTCAACATTGTCAAGTCCCTCAAAGTGCCTTACTCTACTCCAGTCCACAGGGGCCCAGGTTCAGGTGGCAGGGGATATGCTGCCGAACTCCACAGAACGTGCAGTGACAATCTCTGGGACCCCAGAAGCCATCATCCAGTGTGTCAAACAGATCTGTGTGGTCATGCTGGAGGTAGAGTATATCGAGATTTAACAAAACAGCTTTGAAGTGCTAATTCCATTAAGAATCAAGTTATGTACTCTTACAGAATTTATGATAGCCAGTGTTAAATAGTTCAAGGTTATGTGAGTTGTGTTGCATCTTAGGCTAGACACTTATGCACTATGTCTCCATAAATGGTTATGTTCACTGCTCGTGGTGGTTACATTTTTAAATTGATTTTTTAATAGGTTTTAAATTTGCTATTGTTATCAATAAATGTCCTCTTGACAATCTGCTTGCGAATAGAAGGCTAAATTATGGACTTTCCGTTTTGTTGCAGATTTGGATTGGTATTAGAAAGTATAAAAACTAAATCATATCATTACAGTTTAGAGAAAGAAATGATCAACTTTGTGTGTAACTATCCAGATGAACTGTTTATGTAAGTCTGTTTATGTAAGCTTAAGAACACCATTGCTGTTTCTTGATATTGTATTAAGTATAGCACATACCTAAGTGATACTCCTCGCTCTACAGCACACCAGCTACAGAGGAAATATGATTAAACCCTCTCCCCTGCCTTGAGCAGCCTTGTTTCTGCGGCACAGCATGAATCAATAACTGTGTCATTATAGTAAGTTTGCAAACTGGAACTGCCTTCTCATTGAAACCACCTCCCTGCTGTCTTAGAAGAAAAGCTGGCATCCTGGAGGAAAAAAATAGAGGCCTGTGATGCATTTAATCTGTGATGATCTGGTTTCACACGTGCCAGCTCTTTGTATTTTTATAATCTCCGTGAATAGAGACTACTAATATGACTGAGCTCCATGACTCCTTTTTAATTCAATGCGCACACATTTCACTTGTTGTCAGAAGCTGCCAACTAATTGAACCATAGAACACCAAGTTACAAAGACACCACCTTGCATCAGAGTGAGTTTTCTGCTGTGACTGTGAATTATATGTATTATCTATTATATGTATTATCTTTCTTGCCGAGAGTTAGATGAGAAGATCAATACCACTCTTATATCTGTTCATTAAATAAGAAGCTACAGCCAGCAGCCAGTTAGCTTAGCTTAGCATTAAAAACTGGAAACTGTGGAAAACCGCTTGTCTGTCTCTCTCCATAGGTAACAAAATCTGCCTACCAGCACCTCTAAAGCTCACTAACACGAAATCACTGTTTCCAGCCAAGAAACTGTCTGGCACATAACACACTGGAAAACCACAATAATTAAGCAAAGCTAACAAGCAAATAAAGCAAATAAACATATCTCCCAAAATGAACTATTTCTTTAAATTATGAATATTTCTTTTAATTATGAATAATTTTTTAAATTTCACATAAAGTAAGAACATGCTGACTCTGCTTCTCCTCTGTCTTCCCTTTCTCTTAGTCTCCACCAAAAGGTGCCACCATCCCTTATCGCCCAAAGCCCGCCTCCACCCCAGTCATTTTTTCTGGTGGCCAGGTAAGAGCTGAGCTAGCTCAAACTTGTGAGTTTGTGCCCATAGCCAACTTGAGACTTTTACTGCAGCATCAGCCACTGCTTGTTACCGCAAGCCTTTTTGCTTTTATACGCACACTCATATGCCACCACAACCATTTTACAAATGAGGCTGTCCTCATTAGAATAATTACAGTATCAGGTGTTTGTTTCAACAGTAAAATTACCTGTATTTCCATTTTCCGGACAGGTGATCTTGTCATGACGCCCATCCACATCGACAATATTAAACTGCACCAAAAAGTCTTATAGATGTAGGCCAGGGTTATGTACAAAACATGTGACTTCAGTATACAATTCACGTGCTGCCTCCTATCATCAGTCATCTTTGGATGGGTGGGTTGTGGGCACACAGGAAAGTGAGGGAGGGAGGGTGAGCTATAAGCACCATAATGTTTGATTCAACAACAATAGATTCCCGCACACTGTCTAACTTGTAATACAAACATTTATTAGCAATGTTTCGGTCCTAGACCTTAGTCAGGCCATGATGCTTTTGGATATTCATCAAGATCCTATGCACCTGCCTCATGAAGTAGATGTGTGGAATTTTTGTGTGTGATTGATCAACAATGGCATTAGTGTCAGAAAGAATGCACGGCAAATACTAATGTCGGTCGAACTAATGTAAGTAACTGAGTTGCACATCCGGGCTAAAAGCTGTTAGAAGCAAAATTTTGCAAACAAAAGAGATAGATTTGAGAAACACGGCACAAAACTATTTGTAATGACTTTTGGGGGCTTTTATCTGGACATTTTACCCAGTGGACGTTAAATGGAACGTAGGACATTGGAGGCATTTTAAGCCTTTAGACAACATAATACTTTGTTTTTATTTATACAAAAATAATTGGCCATTTTTGCTCATTTCTGAAGAGTGGTGCACAGAATCGTATACCTGTGCGATATAGCACCACCTCATACAAAACACCAGCATAAATACTACCTTTGTGAAGATTATATATTTTGTTGAGATAGCGTCCAATGTGTTGATACACCATAATTATTATTTTGTTATTTTTGATTGTAGTTTTTCATGGTGTCACTTTGGATTACATCACATTGTGCAAATGTTCCTGTTATTGTGTCCACACCAGTAATTTGGAACTTAGATTTAATGCATGTATTTGGAATCTGCTTTGTTTTACTATAAACTGACACAAACATCGGATTTCTCAGTGGGTTTTTATTCTGTAGAATTTAATTTATGAATAAAAAAGATCAAAAGATGGGGAATCACGAAGCAGCTCTACCTGTTGCTATTCTGAGCATTTTTTTGTACATTATGAAATATTTACCCTTGTAAACTGTGAACATACTGTATCAGTTCTGTTTAACTAGTGTAGTGCACTGTTTGACATAGGACCATATATTGTTTGCCACTCACAGAAGGGATTAATTTTGCATTGATTGATTATATAATTTCTAAGACTTGCATGTACAAAGTCTCACTGCACTTCATATCCATCTACAATACATATTATATGATGTTGCTGTTACAGCTTTGAATACGGTAACAATGAGTATCATTAAGAATATCATTTACTGTAATATCACACTTTACTTATTGCTATTTGAGCTAAAGGTATAGGAATGTTTTGTACAGAGCTTCGACTGACTAAGCTAATCTGTTTTTTGGGTAATATTTTCTCTCTCTTATTGCAAATGAGATACTAAAATCTGCTATGTTTTTGATCTTTCCGATCTTTCCAGGCCTACACAATTCAGGGACAGTACGCCATACCACACCCAGATGTGAGTTCTAAGTCTCTCTATAATCAAGAATTGTACCTGTATCTTAATTATTTATAATTAAAAAACAGTAGAAGACATTTCATGGACACTCCAGCTCTTGGAAGTTATTTAGAGACAAGTCAGAATTCACAACTTTAAAAATCTCTGTCCTTGTGGTTTAAGGGTGGACTACAGCTCTACCACTGGAAAGAACTCTGAGCAGATCTGATAGATTAAAAGAAAACAGTGACTGCTGGTCGTAATGATAAAGGCAAAGACAGTAATGGCAGTTTTGATGTAGACACCCCTTTAATTCTAGTGGACCATATAGTCACCATTAATAATCTGTCCTTGTCGTAAGAGCATCTGAAGAGCTACCTTGTGTCAGATCCACTAATTCAAAGTTGGGCAGTGATTGATGCCACTGGTGGTGGTGGTTGACGGTACAATCACTCAAGTACAGGCTTGACACAGTCTTCCACCCTCATTAAAACTCCTCTTAAAAGGAGAAGAAGGCTAGAAAGCATCCGTCTTTCCCCCATTCCTGATGGAAATGATACACAGCAGTAGATAGACATCCTGTGACCATGTCGGGGGAAAGTGCAGCTGCTCTGACAGGCATGTAAAACGAAAGGTTTTCCGGTTCTGAGTCATAAATGCCAACCAGAAGGACACATGGTAATTGAGGGGGCAAATGGGAATGCATTTTCTCTCCTGCATTTGGTCAATGTGCTCATGAGTGCAGTTGTTTGCCTCTCCATTTTTTAAATTGAAAATAAATTACATTGGAGTATGTGAAAATTACAAGGAAATAGAAAGATATGGAAATAATTTAAAATTACCCAGCAATTTACAACCCCATGACAGACAGTCATCTTCTCTCAGTATCTCTTTTTCTCTTACTTTTTTGTCCTCCACTACCCTGTGTCATGGCCTCCTTCTCCTCACCGTTCTTCACTCTAGTTTTGGTTGACTTCATTTCTTGGTGTGACCTGTGTAACAGTAACCTCTTAGTTCTACTTTCCCTCCTAACCCTTCAGCAGTTGACCAAGCTCCACCAGTTGGCTATGCAGCAAACCCCCTTTACCCCTCTCGGACAGACCACCCCTGCTTTCCCTGGTACGTACCCACAAGGCCCTTTAGATAATTCCTTCTCTTTGCATCCAGAGAAACATTTTTCTCTTTCCCTACCTTCCACCTTATCTCTCTTTTGGCACAGCATGACTTGGCCCCTGTGGTTTCTCTTCTTCTTTGATTTTTTCATGTATATATTTTTCTCTTGGCTCTGTCTGATATTATGCCAGTGGACGGCAACAAAATGACACTGGGCTTCACTTTAAAATTATGTATTCAAAATGGCGTTATCACTTGGCAACAGGATACATCCTTCCTATAACACATATTTTAGGTTGTGTTACTTTCCATTAAAGACGAACAGCTCCAGTGAAATAGTGTGGCTACATTACACTACAATATCCAAGTGAATTTCCCCCACATCTGAATTGAACTGTTTCACGTTGACCTCGGTACATGGCAACTAAATCTGGAATACATAAATGTACAACAAGTAGTTATTTTTGGTTCTTTTTTTCACGTCTTTCATCTAAAAGGATGTGGCAATTACCATTAATGAATCAACAAGAGCTCTTCTTTCAAAAAAAATGCTCTTATTCAAATGTGCTTTAGCTGACTTTTCCCACAAAGCCTATATCAAATCAAACACAGGATTTAATAAGGAGAAACAGTATAAAGGTTCCATTGAGAAATAAGCTTACATACTCGAAGGAACAGTCTAGATATTTCAATAAATACACTGTCATGACAAGCGTTAAACAAGGAGGTTGATACCACTCTAATGCTACAGCAAACAGCCAGTTAGCTTAGCTTAGCAAAAAGATTGGAAACAGTGGGAAAACAGCTATCCTGGCTAGCCTGCTATAAAATCTGCTTACCAACACTCTAAGGCTGAGAGTTAACTGAGAACATCAATACCAGCCTTGTATCTGTAGCTCTGCTTTCTTGCTGGTAGGCAGACTTTGCTGTCTTTTGGACAAAGCAGACATATTTTGATCACAGATTGAGATGTATCAATGTTCTCATTTAATTCATAGCAAAAAAAGCAAATGAGCATGTTTCCCAAAAACTTCAAAATATTCCACAAACAGGTTTCAGTTCTGTTAAAGAGTCAAATTTCCTTCCTTATCCCATTGCTTTCCCCTATTCAGGTTTGGATGCCAGTCCACCAGCCAGCACCCATGAACTCACCATTCCTAATGATGTGAGTAATGCCTTCTTGAGATAGCTGACTGGGGGATTTCAAAATTCTGTTCTTTTTAAATTATGTGTCATTGAACTGGCATATCAGATATAATTTCCAGTGATATTGAGAGGATGTCAATTGTGCAAAATGTCATAATGTAGTGCCTAATTATTCAGACCTTTGCCACAGAGCACACTGATCTAATTAACTGAAAATGTAAAAGGGTGGACGGCAACTTTAATTGTTAATTAACTGATAAGGAAAACATTTTCAAATACACTAAGATAATCATGTTCTCTCAAACTTATGAATGTTGTAAGAACAAATGACTGACAACATTACCAACAATGATCCTGCACACTTCAGTTCTCACTGTCGGCACAGCAGAGCACCCCCAATCAGCTGATATACTGACCATGCTATCATTAATCAAACCTAATTTCCTGAATGATGGGATTTAAATTAAAACCCAGACCATTTCATAACCCATTAACGTCCAATTACTGTAGGTATTAAATCCAAATGTATTAAGACAATACAGAGGGTTCCTTGCTCCAGGTTCAAGATTTCTGCTTTTCCCCCCCAGCTAATAGGCTGCATTATTGGACGCCAGGGAACAAAAATAAATGAGATTCGACAGATGTCTGGGGCGCAGATCAAAATTGCCAACGCCATGGAGGGCTCGTCAGAGCGCCAGATCACCATCACAGGGACCCCTGCTAACATCAGCCTGGCCCAATATCTCATCAATGCCAGGTAACCTTTTAACTCTAACAGCTGGGCTCCAGCACAATCTAAAGGATAAAAGCAACACCTGAATGACTATGATCATATTTGAGATCCAAGAAAACTCCTGTCTGTGATTCTACTGTTTGTTTAGTTTTGTCATTCACAACACTGATGCTTTTAAAGAGTTGCTAGATTCATGATATCTGTCAGGTTTTGAAAAGAGACAGATAAGCCCATGAATAATCATTCTATTTTCTTGGTTGTAACTTTCTACTTTTGTTCCTTATTTTGATCCAAGTGTAGACATTAAAATGCATTAGGTTTCAGCTAGCACACTCTTTGCAAGTAAGTGGCTCCTGGGAGCAATGCCAACTACTGAGACAAGCTGTGTCTTTGAACTGAACCAGCAAATTAGCAAATTGGATGATCAATAAATGAACAATGAAATGTACAATGCCTAGGTCAGTTCTCGAAAGTTCATTGCGAAATATTCATGATAAATGTGTAACACAACACAGAAAAGTATACAGCCTAACAATGTAGATATAACTAAGGTCTAACGGTGTTATATTTGCACATTATCCATTTATGTTATTAAATGTAAGACTAAATCTGCTGAGCCCTGAGACTAAATAAACCAGGTATGGATAGTACGATACGGTACACAGCAGTAAAGATACTGAGGGATGTATTTTTTTCATTAGAATTTTCTTGCCATGCTCCACCACCCCCGTCTCTGTTTCCCCTCTATCCACTCAAACTACTTATTCATTATCAACAGAAAAAATAAATGTATTAGCCACTACTCTGAGAAAACTGAGCGTCACTGATGTCAACAGACTACCTACGCCTCAAAGTCAAATGTTATCAGCGTTAGAGCAGGAGAACCCACATACTCAACAAACAGGACTTTATGTCTTCGACTTCTTAAGGGGATTTCAGACAGCAGTCCACTGAGAAACTAATGGTTATTGCTTTCCCACAACTCCAATGGCAGGTTCAGGGACGTGGCTGCCATGTGGAATGACCCCTCATCCATGACTACATCCTGAAGTCACCCCAAATCTGGTTCTGTTTGCAGAAGCTAACATCAAAACCACCTTTTCGCTTCACATTTAACCTCTATGTGTTATCCCATGGAACTTCCCCTAGACTCCCTTGGTTTTACACAACACTTAAGCATTAGCCTGTGGAACACCTATAGTAAAGGTCAGACTACCAACACTGGGATTTGTTTTAAATGGATGTAGCCAGTAAAGGGAAGGCTAGGTTAAAGGAAAGGCTTGACATTTTGTGAAATACGGTTAATGTTAAATTAGAAGGTTGATACCACTCTCATCGCTGTCAGTGAAGCTAGATCCCAGAGACTGTTAGCTTAGCAAAGGCTGGAAACAAGGGGAAACAGCTGACCTGGCTCTGCCCAATCGTAACAAAAACCGCATGTCAGCACCTTTTAAAGCTCACTAATTAACAGCCTCATGTTGACAACAAGACTCTAGGAACTGCTCCGGGCTAAGACACAGTTTGGCACATAAACCCTGTAAAACGGTAACTTGTCATTTTTATACTTCAGTTTTTATATGAATTCAACAAACAAGCTCTGATACGTCAATTAGACAGTTTTAAAGATGCTAGAAGGCAGACTAGGCTATATGTTTTCCCCTGTTTAAATTTGTTATGCTCTGGTAAGCTAAGATAACCGCCTCCTGGCATTAACATACATAAAAGAGTGGTATTTTCATCTTAAATAAGGGTATTTCTCAAAATGTCAAACTATTCCTTTAAGTAGGCCTATTTATTTAGCATGCCTCATTCCAAGAATAATATTGTATTTCTTTTTGTCATTACTATATTAGATAATTTTGCCTATTAAGTCCTATTGTGTAATTGTCTGGAAAGAGTAAAATTAATAAAAAAAATGTAAAATGAACAAAAAAGCAAAGAAAAAAGAACACGACTGCCACTTGAGCAATGCTGTTAGAAAGACGAGTGATGTGATGCCTCTGTCAGGGAATACAGCAAGTTCTACATTGGACATTTCATGACACCACCATTCCTTTTTGTCCACCGCATGGCTTCATGAGGGGTTAGTTTTGCATGGGCATGTTACCATATTTTTTTTTTTAGAATTTAACATGTTGTATGTGGAAGGATACAATGAAAATATGGTATCAAATCTGTGTAAAAAAATAAAAACAGGTGTCAGCAAAAAACGGAGCACAAAGCCAGCCATTGCAACATGACTTTCACTTTCAAGCGAAAGTTCTTCTTTCACAGCTGTTTTATTTTCTCTGTCTACCCTCCTCCTCCTCCTCCTCCCTCCCACCTTTCCTGAACTGTTCTAGGCTGACGTCTGAAGTCACTGGAATGGGCACACTCTAATTTCTACCCATCTTCCCTCAGTGCATCACATGACCCTTGAGCAAATGGCATTGCACCTAGTTTATTTATTTCTCTGTATCTGACTGTCCTGATATTTAAGTGACTTTAACTTTTATAATTTCTAGTATTTACTGTAAACATGTCTATCTGCACTGTTACTAGGACTCCTCACACCTGTATCTGAAACCCTGTTGTTTCTGTTTCTGAAAGGTTGCTTTACTTTTTTGACACTCTAGTACCTTTCATGGCATCTCATGCACTGCACCGCTTTGTTTACCTCATGTTTTAACACGTCACTGTACTGTTCTTTTTTGCACTGCGGGCACCTGAAAGTCAGTGTAAAGTTAACCTAAACATTAATATAACAATCTAAACCAAGGTCGTCCCTCCTCCACCCAACATTATAAGATACTGACACATACATTTATATTCCATATTTAGACTACTCAAAGAATTACTAAAAAGTTCAATAAGCAACTCCAGAGCAGATATTTTATTCCAGTTTATTTTACACTAATTTCTTGATTGATGAAATCAGCGATTGACTGTGTGCCTGTAGACTCTTGCCTGTTTGTCTAGTGTTGTACGTACACTATAGATTGATCTGCATGACACACAAAACCTACTGCATTTCCAATTTATTTAGAAATCAAACAGGTAGAAAAGAAGACTCAATAGGGAAAGTGAATGGAACCAGCTGTAAATAGTCTATTTATGATCTGGATGTATCACTCCAATTTGAAATGACCTCACAGAGGCCAATAAATATCCACTGTAATGCACAAACATCAGTCTTTCCGAGTTTCATGTGAGATGTGACTCAAAGGTTGGGTGGAGAAATGGAAATAAGCAAGTAAACAACTGCAGCAAAGACTGAAATCCAAATGCACGCTATAAATAAACCCCACTTTATTCTATATTCCACAAACATGTAATCGTGTTATTCATGCTGCAATCTCGTAACAACTATGTGTAAGAGGCAATGGACATATAGAAGGTCTTAGAATGTCTAGTGTATGTTTGCACTCACACGTAGCTCATTTCAGTCTTTCAGTGTATGTCAAAAGGGCTGAAAAGCTCCTGGGAAGCAACATTCTGTTAGTCAGTCACATCTGTTTTTCAGCTCTTTCATCACAGATGCCTGGTAGGCAACAAGCCATTCCAGATACAGAGAGGTAGAGTGTTTCTGGTTAGCATGTATTAAACACCGGAAACATATTTTTTAACCTATGTATCTACACTGAACCAGTTGTTGGTTTTGCAGGTTATGTCAGCCAATTAAGCTACATACAAGCCTTACATATACATGTATGTATGACTCTCTTTGCAGTTGGCATCTAATACGGTTTCTCCTTGATTACACCAGGTTGTATATTTGTTTCAGCTGTTAACTTGTCTTACTTCCAAATGCGCGACCTGTGTTCGAGTTCAGACTAAAGCTGAATGTATTTCAAAATGTGTTTTAACTGAAACTATTTACACGCCATACTTAATTAAGACACCTCTATGTGTGGCACGAATGAGTACAATAGACTATGATGCAGACAGATGAATATAATAGAGTAGAAATGCTTATCTGTCAAAAAGGTTCAGAATTTTTTAAGGTGGGGCAGGTTACTCTCAAAATGAGGTCTGTTTAAAATTGTATTCTACAGTTTATTACACTAATTACATGCAATGCCATGTAATCTGATTATTTTCTAATATGCTAAATATAAAACATAAACATAAACTAAGACTTTCCTATATTTTCTGCAAACACATGAGTGGATGGCCTTATTAGTATCTGCTGCAGATAAGAAAAAAAATATATCATTCCACAGTGTAATATGACACTATAACAGGTAATGTGATGTTAATCTGAAGCCTGTGTGTTACTGATTTTAACTAGCTTCTATTTTTAATCCACTTTACCTTAATACATTTACACATTGTACTCACAAAGCCTGGATATGCATTACTCCAGGGATAATTATAGAAATGATGTTTGGGGGAATATTATTTGCGTCATTGCAGTTTAGGCTCAGGTACTTGGCTTTTGGTTAGAATTGATTATACAAACATAGGTTGCATAGGCTGCTTTACATTAATACATGCACATTTCACAAGTACATATTGCTTCACATTTACATTACGAATGTAAATCTGTACATTAGCACTCATCTGGCTGCATCCAGATGTGTTTCAAATGAACAAACTGAGGAATGGGTGACTGAGGGCTAACCAGTTTTTAATGTGCCATTTAAAAACTTCCCATCATCCACAGCATCTCATCATCAAAGCAGTATAATAGTTTTTGTAAAGTGCACATTAATGGTTGTGTTTGCAGGTTCAAGGTTCTGCTGGTTGTGTGCAGGCAGGCCAACCAAGACGCACTCATGCTATTTTACAAGCATCTCAGTTGCCTTTTTGATTGTCATAGTTCTATCTTTCATAATCGTGGCATCGCTCACGTGCTCATCATTCTGCAATGCCGTGTAAGTCAAACACCTCCTGTTGTGTTGCTTTTGGCATTTTACTGATACATGAACATTTTTTTGTTACTGTGCTAGAGCAGCAAAAAATTAAAGGTTAGCACTGTATGATGCTGTTTGAGGGAATGTGTCATGTTTATGTTTGATCATTTGCTTCTTGAAGGTCTGTATTGGATTTATTATTTATTGAGGTTGATTCTGAAATGTTTTGTAAAAAGAAAAGAATAAAGTTTGTGTTTTTTCCCTTGACTTGGACCTTTCTCATCTTTTTCAAGTTTTACTTCTTGTGAATTGTGTTGGATATGCGTCTTTGTTATATAAGCTACAGAAGCTTGTTATATTAAGCTTTCAGAGCACTAACGCTCTGAACTCTGGAACTGAAATAAGTTACAGACTGGACTATTTTTCGGGTATTGAACGTGCTGAAATAGCCTCACTAAACATTGTTTTTCAAAATAAACATTTATAACGTGGTTCCTTTCAGCAGAGGTGGAGTCACTTTTAGTTTATTAGAATATGTATATTTATGAATATGCTACAGAGCCAGTGAAACTATGAAGGACCATAGTACAGAAAAAAAAGATTAAATTTAATCCTATAGATTTAAAACTCTTGACAGAGCCTGTCTTCTGAAATTGTGCAGTAAAAAATCAGGACCCTAGAAAACGTTTGTCCCCCTCAAGATGTTTAAATAAATTGCATCAAAAAAGCATTAAGGATATTATGGAATGTATGGAGTAATAATATATGTAGGATGGAGCCAATGTACTTAAGGCAGAAGGAGGATCAGCTTTGGCTTGCTCATGCAAAGACATCAATATAGGTGAAATTTGATGGAAGTCTGTTTCAGAGGATCTCTGGAAGCTGCATTTTTGACCAGATGATTGTTGCTGTCATGGATTGATCAGAGGATGATGGAAGTGCATTGCAATTTTCCGTTCTGTTATAAGAACATCTATAGGGTACTTTGGTGTCCTTGTAGAAACAAAGATTTTGCACCATTCATGATGTGTGGCTAAAAAGTAAGAGCGGGATCAAAACCTCTCTCCTAGGTCCTGACTGAATAACATTGAAATTTACACTGATCTAATGCAATGATACGTGATTCACTCTGATTCCCGCTGCTTTTTGTGTTTTTGTACTGCATCCCACCCTGACTCCGAATGAGTCTTGAATACCGGGTGTAATTGATTCCAGATAAGACCAAAATAACCCTGCACGAGGTCAGTTAGTCAATACTTGCACACAACTTAATGACCATAAAGTGGAGCAAATAACTATGGGAAATCTCTGCAATGGAAGTTACAGACAAGCTTTGTGGCAATTATGAAGGAAACTGATTTCCCTTAAACTATCTGTGATTGATTCAGCAGTGGCTTCCCACAGTGCCAAATGTTCTCACAACAAAAGTTAGTTAAAACTGATGGGAAAGGTATTTTTTTGTAATCTCATTTACAAGGACTTTCATAGAATTATTGTCAGCCTTGTAAACGGTTTTTGTTTGTGATCTTTCAGTGCAGCAATTTGAAAGCTTGCCTGCTTGTCTGGATCTCTTTTCATTCCCTAATGTCAGAATCTATAACAGACAGGAATGTGTGGGTGGTGGACCAAATACCAGGAACACCTTGCCATATGACACAATCAACTGCAAAATCCCTGCCACGAATCCTAAATGTATAAAGTTAATAATTTCATGAGGTCTTGATTCAGCTCTATGGAATGTTTTGAGCCATTCACGCTAATTGTGCATACCATTCTCTGCCCAGACTAACAGACTGTAATAGACAATATAACACAGTTAACCGTTAATAATCCCAATAATAGCTTTGACCTAAATAACATCACATCAGTTCAACTTTTCTCTGCTTTCTCATGAGCTCCTTGAGATACTCTAGCTTAATGTAATAATTTGAGACCAATTTTTTACCATAGTTCTCAAATTGTACTACTTTCCTACAGCAAAACAGATGTAAGATTAAAAAAAAAGGCTTTACATGTCTCTCATAGTAAAAGTGTTAATCTAAAAGAGTCGCTGTTATGTTAATTGGATGTGGCTATGTTATGGTCTGACATTCAGCTGGAGTGTGTGCACAAGAGACCAAGCCTCAGGGGATGCCTTTGTCCACAGGCATGTTGCAAATTAACATTGTCGCTCTTCAGGGGCGACAAGAGGTCACCTTGTATATAACTTGGCCATCAGTCCACACCAGATCTTTCATGGCCGTTAAATATGCCCAGTTTCAAGCAGCTCTAGATTGCGCTCCCAAAGTCCCTGATTGCATTTAGTAACACATTCACCAAGTCTAAATAGGGGAAATAATCTCTGTGCTAAACAATTGACAACCTTGCCAGGAGAAGAGCAAGCTCACTGTGATTTTACAACATTCGATAACTTCATCATGACTCTTTTGTCATTTCCTCTTGAAGAGAAGAGTTGCTCACATTTATATGAACTGTGCTTTTAAGGTCACAACATTTCAGGTAAGGCAAGAGTTACCAAAAATATAATGAATCAATTGTTGTATGGACTTCTGCAATAAACCCCACAATGCAAGCAGGTTAACAAACACTAAGAAATGTTACAATTTATAAATAAAAAAAAGAAAATGTAGTAAAAAGGTCACAAGGTCAAGTCAGATAATAGTTAAATATTTAGATAATTAAAATAGAAGGTAAAAGGAAATACATAGCTTTACACTTTTCTGTTTCAAATTCTAGGCTAGAAGTTTGTTTTTTTTAAGTTTATTTGACATTATGATATAAGAGACATTAAATTACACATAAATGTCAAGGGCAAAAAAATAAAGATCAAAGATCATATTTTCATTGTGGGGCTTGATGAAGACAAGAGACATGCAGTACAAGTGTAAAGATGAAGTTGATGTTATGAAGATCAGACAGGCAGAAACAAAGACTGAAAGGCTAGGTGGATGCACACCAGATAATCTGGCACATGAGGAATGAGTGGAAATGGACCACTATATGAAGGCCCTTCTACTTGGCTGTAGTTGGGACACCTGTGGGTTTTTGGGCCCATACACTATATGGCATAGAGCATTTGTCCTTTTCCAGCTGAGCCAGATGAGAGTGTAGGGCTACGTGTTTGAGACTTCCTCTGACCATGCCAGCTGACTTTCTGTTAGCCCCCCCTCCACAAAATAATAGAATGATTCAAATGGTAGACTTTCCATGTTGTTGGACTGAATTTATCAAATTCTGATAAGAGTTGTTTCAGGGTGTTTGTGGCAAATAAGGAAAATTAGAAATTTGTTGAAACTATGTTGCATGGGAAACAGGGAGATAAATAATGCAATGTCTGCCAAAACAAAGAAAAGGGAAATAAAGGAGTTGAAAAATAAATACAAATAAAGGAGATGGATCAAAATAAATTAAGTATTATTTTTCCAATGTAAAATATGGATTTCTTTTTACACCATACAGTATGTATCACCAATCCGATGGTTGGGAACAATGATTCTTCCAAATATAAATAATTGTCAGAACTTACCAGAAACTAATCATGGATAATTTTATTTGAGACTTTAATATATTCTATAATTAACAGCTTATGTCAGGGAATCTGCTCTGCTCCAGTGTGTTGGGTCCCATCCATCTGGTACTTGACGTGTGGTAAAACAGTCCTTCTGGTTGAGGTTTTGCAGCTTAGTGAAATCAGATGGTGTTTGGTGGGAATTAAAACCATCATACTCTTGGCTGTCTGCTGAATATTAAGACAAACTCTTGAAATCTCTTATATCACTGCCAACCCTGGTTATGGTGCTCTGTAGTTAGAGAATGCCTTCATGGATGAAAGCCACTTACTTTGTCAATTTGCCTACAAGTTGTCATATCATACATTGTTGGTTTCTAAATATTTATTATAGCCACTTTAATGGCCGTGGGTACATTTTTATTGGAATACTCAATTACTATCAAACACGTACAAATACTGGTTCTAGACAGGGCCTTTCTCAAGTATTGCAGCCACCCTAGTTTCTCATAAACACTTGGAAAGCTGAGCTGTATTCAAATGGTTGCAATCTGCAACTCCACTGTTAAACACTGGTCCTTTAAACACTGATGTTCTCATCTTATGACCTCCTCCTGAGCATTTGAACACACCATTGACATTTCTTTCGACCCATTTATAATTAAAGGCACACACTGAAATCGATGGCTTTGCTCAAAGGCTTTTAACTAGTAATGCTGATGGCAGTGTCATTACTGCATCATGTCAACAGTCAGAGAGAAGACAAGATTCATCAGACAGGATGATGTTGAGGATTTCATTTCATTTTTATCTTTGCCATATGCCTTTTGTCCCTTAAAAGAGACACAACTCTTCTGAGCAGTCTCAGAGCAAATTGCAAGGCATGCTGGGTAGAAAATGAATCCACCCTTGGGTTTAGATTAGTTCTTACCAAAACAAAATGTGACTTTCTTAAAACTATGAATGCAATTAGGTAATTTGCCTTATGAATAATTCATTCTCTTATTTGGGGCTTTGGGACAACAAAAGTCTGTTTGCCGACCTTATGCTGTGTATGTACAAAGTGGTGATGCTGAGCATTCAATATGTACAACTAATTATACTTAATCTTACCAGAACATCCGTACTTCCATTAAAAGTTTATTTCTGAAAGTTCAATGACCTGTGTAACAATGTGTGAATTAGTTGTTAAAAACTACAAACATGAATGAATATTTTATATTTATTTGACATTATTTAATAGTGAAATACGTATTTTTTACGTTTGGTATGATGTAAGTTTTATGATACGTATGTGAGTTTGTATGGTATCTAAAAGGTAGTTTGATACAGTTTTCCTTATAAGGTATGTACCATATTCTGCTGCTTATTACTAGTATGAGAGACACCTTATAAGTGGTTTCAGTGTAGCAGTTTATCTCAGTGTTCAAAGACATGGAAATAACCTTGACATCCATGTGGGAGTAATTTTGATTGGCAACACTTTCAGCCCACACAAATGTTGCCCTATTTTGGTGTACTGACTGGGCATCTCGGTGCCTACGTCAGTCTGAGCTTCTGTTACTCAGCCTTCATACTTCCAGTCTATCTTTGAGGAAAATGTCCGACAACACCATTTGTTTCCTGTGTGCAACAATGACTGCAATGAAATATCTGTCTGATCAAAAAGTCCTTCAATTGCCAAGTATATCAAAAGTATAATTTGTCTGCACAACATTTTGCAGAAAGAAATAATGTGACAGAACCATATCAAAAGA